CTCTCCCCTGGGACTTCATATTTCCTGGCTTATCTGCAAAGCTGTTCTGAACAAACACAGTACAGCCCGTGGGGATGGGACAGCAAGGACACAGGCAGCAGAGGAAGACAGAGGAAAGGGGTCACTGCTGCCCAGGGCTGCACTCAGAATTGCAAGGTGGTTGCTCTGCAATACCTGAAAGCCACACTCTGGGCTTTGTGTTCCTACAACTTCATAAGCCAGGTCTGCTCTGTGGGGGGCTCATGTCGCCAGTACCCACTTTCCCCTTGGAGCTGACTGCTATCTCCACCCTACCTAGGCTGCGTTTGCAAAGGTCCCACGGAACCTCCTAGACACTCTGTCCATCCATCGGCTCCTTGCTGGGCTGGACTCATAGAGTTCCATAAATTTTTGTGAAATTAAAATCTCTCTCTTCTCTGGTGGTCACCCACTAACCAGGAGACAAAACCTCACATCAGTGACAGTGGATGGATCGCAGTAGGGTTACACAGAGCTGTGGATAAACCATGGTTTAAGAAAAACAACAGTGTAAAAGCATGTAGGGCACAACTGGGGGTGTTCAAATAGCAACTGAATATTAAGGGAGTATTGTTCATTTTCTTCAATATAATAAAGCCATTCTATTTATGTAGTAAGATGTTCTTTCTGTTAGGAGATGCTTGCTGGTCTATTTGGGGTCAAGTGTTATAATGTCTATACTTTCAAACGTTTCAGAAACACATGTCCAGCAGGGCATAGTGGTGCACTCCTGTAATCCCAGCACTCAGGAGCCTGAGGCAAGAGGATCTGGAGCTTGAGGCCAACCTGGGCTACATGGCAAAGTTCTGTTGGGAAGGGGGAAAGAGAGGAAGGGCAGAGAGGAAGGGAGAAGAGGAGAGGAGAGAAGAGAGGAAGCCCCGTCCAGTCATACACACAGATGCAGATAAAGCAACCGTGACAAAAGTATTAACAGCGACTGACTTGAGGCTGGGCATTAGCTGTACCTATCCTCCCAACTTTTCTTCACGATCCTTTTCTCTTCCCGTGCTCTCCGCCACTGCCACAGACAGTTCATGGGCTCATTAACTGTGACCAGGACTCCATGTTTCTCTGTGCCGGCAGCGCCCTGCACACCAGCACCCTGAGCACCAGCAGCACCTCGTGCCCAGCTGTGGTCTACTTAATGTCTGTGCGCCTGTAAATCAGTGAGCTCCTGGGGGACAAGGACAGCATCCCTCACAGGCAGGCAGGGGACATGGCTCAGGGGTACATTGTTTGCTTCGCCTGCAGGAGGCCCTGGGTTCCACACACAGTACCACAAAAAAAAAAAAAAAGTTGAGTTGTTTATCATTTTAGTAGTTCTTCTGGATATCAGTTCTTTGTCAAACATATATATTGTCTAATATTTTCCCTATGTCTTGTCTTTTTTCTTAACGATGTATTCAATGGACAGACTTTAACCCTAACCCTTTTAATTTTTATGAAGTTTAGTTTATAGTTATTGCTTTCTATGTCCCAAGAAACTTTACCTATGAGCAAATCACAAACCACCCCTGTGTTTTCTTCTACATTCTTTATAGTTCAGCTTTTCTATTTGGGTCTATGGTGAAACTCGAATTAATTTTTGTTGGGTCTGGCATCAGTGGCTCATGCCTGCTATCCCAGCTACTCAAGAGGCAGAGATCAGGAGAATCACAGTTTGAGGCTACCCCTATCTTAAAAAAACCCATCACCAAAAAGGGCTCAAGGAGTGGCTCAAGATACAAGCCCTGAGTTTAAATGCCTGCAATCCTAGCTACTTAGGAGGCTGAGATCGGGAGGATTGTGCCTGGACAAATAGTTTGCAAAACACCCTCTCCAAAATAACCAGAGTAAAATGGACTGGAAGTGTGGCTCAAGCAGTAGAGTGCCTCTTCTGCAAGCACAAAGCCCTGAGTTCAAACCCCAATCTCACTAAAAACAAAAAAGAAGAAGAAGAAGAGGGAGACATAAAGGAGCTCCCTGCCCTCTGCCTTCCTCTTTGAGATGTTAAGATGCTGCAAGACTCCTTGAAGGGGTAGAGGGACAGAAAAATGAAAGGCATGAATAGCAAAAGGAAGTCCTAGAACACCCATTGTCCCTGTGTTTTGGGTAGACCTAGATGACGTCTCCCTGTTTCAAAATAATAAATCACTGTCTAAGGATTAGACATTGCTAAATGACATGAGCGCGTGTATTCCTCCAGTTCAGAAAGTATAAAGGCTGCAGATAAGAACCACCATTTTGAGTATTTACTCCTGTTTGCTGACTGGGAAGCAGGAAATGTCTCTCCCTTTCCTTCCCATTTCTCCCTATTTTATCCTATTATGCTAAAATAAATCCTTTCACCTCATGACAATCTCCTTTCTGTACGTGGGACACATTGCGTGGATCTCAAGTACTTGTGATTTTGGGTGGAAACTTGGGAATCCGAGGGACTCTCCCTTCCAACGACAGTAGCTTTTAGATTTGATGGAGAGGAAATGCAGGTGATGTTGGGTTTCGGATGGAGGGAGGGAAGGAAAGAAAATGCAGTTTATGAAGTCGGAAATAGAGGAGGGCCAGGCTCACAGCAAAGATCCAAGCCAAGAGGGAATAGCAGGGAAGGGAAACCCAGCGTGTCTTGGGGTAGCATTTGGGGAGTGGAAGAGTTGGGTACCCGTTCTAGAGATGGAGCTGAGAAATGGACCCTTATTATGGACAAGCCATGACTTTTGTTTCAACTTAGGACTTGAGATTTTTTGACTTTAGGATGGTGCAAAAGCAAGCTGCATTCAGAAGAAACTGTGCTTCCAATCTGGAATTCTGGTCTTTTCCCAAGATAGGGATGGGCAGTCTGATACAAGACGCGCTGGGCAGCACAGCAAGGCAGCTCCTAGACCACCACCCCATAAGGAGGGAAACAGCCCGCACCCTACAATGCTCTGTGTTGCTAAACTTTGGTGTGTAAATGCATTTCAATCTAGAATGATTTCTTGTTGTTGTTTGGAGGTAATGGGATTTGAACTCAGGGCCTTGTTCTGCAGGCACTCTACCATGTAAGCCACTCCTCCAGCCCTCTTAGCTTTAGATGAAGGGTGTTGTGCTTTTTGCTCAGGTCTGCCTTTGGCTGTGATCTTCCTACCTATGTCTCCTGTGTAACTGGGATTATAGACATTAGCCTCCATGCCCTGCCTTGGGTCTCTTAGTTTATGTCCAAGCCAATCTCAGACCTTGATCCTCATACTTACACCTCCCGAGTACCTGGGATTACAGACATGCACCACCAATCCTGACTTGTGTAGTGAGATGGGAGTCTGCTAACTTTTTGCAAGGGCTGGCCTCTAACTGAGATCCTCTTGATCTCCACCTCTCTAGTAGCTATAGGATTATAGGTATGAATCATTGCCCTCCCCCACTGTTCTTTTGAGACAGGGTCTCCCTAGATAGCCCAGGCTAGCCTCAAACCCAGGATTCTGCTGCCTCAGCCTTTCCAGTGCCGAGATTACAGGGGTGCTCCACCACACCCTACCGGGTGTGGGTACTGAAGCATATTTTCAATTTAAGATGTTTATGGGGACTAACCCCATTGTGAGTCAGGGCAGAGGTAAAACACTGGGAAAAATCACTGGGCACAGAGTTATGGTAGACCAGGTACCTGCCCCCCCAGGAACTCAACCTCCTAGGGTTGACCCAGCAGGCTAGGAAGTGATTGCATTCACCTGGCCCCCAGCCTGGCACTGCCCCTTGCTGTCTTGATAAAGAGAAAGGAAAGCCAGAGAAGATGGAGGATGAAAGTGAGTGAGAGAGGGAGGGGAGGATGGAAAGGGACAGGGGCACTACTGATGAATGGATTAAGAAAATGTGGTATTTATACATAATAGAATTTTATGCAGCCATGAAGAAGAACGAAATGTTATCATTTGCTGGTAAATGGATGGAATTGGAGAACATCATTCTGAGTGAGGTTAGCCTGGCTCAAAAGACCAAAAATCATATGTTCTCCCTCATATGTGGACATTAGATCAAGGGCAAACACAACAAGGGGATTGGACTTTGATCACATGATAAACTGAGAGCACACAAGGGAGGTATGAGGATAGGTAAGACACCTGAAAAACTAGATAGCATTTGTTGCCCTCAATGCAGAGAAACTAAAGCAGATACTTTAAAGCAACTGAGGCCAATAGGAGAAGGGGACCAGGAACTACAGAAAAGGTTAGTTCCAGAAGAATTAACTTAGAAGGTAACACACATGCACAGGAAATCAATGCGAGTCAACTGCCTGTATAGCTATCCTTATCTCAACTAGCAAAAACCCTTGTTCCTTCCTATTATTGCTTATTCTCTCTCTTCAACAAAATTACAGATAAGGGCAAAATAGTTTCTGCCGGGTAGCGAGGGGGTAGGGGAGGAGAGGGAGGGGGCGGGGGGATAAGAGAGGGGATGGGGAAAGAGGGGAGAAATGACCCAAACATTGCATGCACATATGAATAAAATAATTTTTTTTTTAAAAAAAGAAAGGGACAGGGGCTAAGAAAACATACTTTCTTGAGCCCCCGTTGATGGCTGGCGACCAAATGACTAAGTCGAGAAAAACCTCTGGACTGGGGCAAGAGCAGGAGGGCTTCACGGTGATGACAGAGATTAAGTTTGGGGCGCCTGTGGCTCGTCCCTGTAATCCCAGCTACTTGGGAAGCTGAGATCGGTAGGCTCGCGGTTCAAAGTCAGCCTGGGGAAATAGTTTATAAAGCCCCCCCCATCTCCAAAATAACCAGGGCAAAATGGGTTGGAGGTGTGGCTCAAGCAGTAGAGCGGCTGTTTAGAAGCTCAAAGTTCAAATCCCAGTACCAAAAAAAGAAAAAAGTTTGGAACGGGAGCGTGTTGCTAGCTGACACAGTTTGGCGCTGGGCTGAGGCCCAGCACGCACCTGGGAAGCGCGAAGAGGCGGGGCCACAAACCCCGCCCACCAACGCTCCGCCCCTCTGCGCCCCTCTCCGCCCTTCCAGCCTGGTGCGGGCTGGAAGCCGGAAGCGGTTGAGTGTCCCAGGCTGGGCGGAAGGGGAACCCAGGCTGACCTCGCTGCTCCCGAGCGCCGGCCGCGAGCCCGCGACAGAGCTGGGACCATGGGGGCTCGGCGCCGCGGTCCGCCCGTCGTCCCGGAGCCCGCGCTGGGGCTGCTGCTCCTGCTGCTGAGCGCGCCGGCCCCGAGCCGCGCCTCCCCGCGGCTCTTGGACCACCCGGCGCCGGTCTGCGCGCAGGAGGTGAGACCCCGAGGGGCCCGGGAGGGGGATCGGGGACAGCGGTCGCACGGCGTGTGGCGCACAGCCGCGGGCCGTCGTGGCAGGGGGCGGAGTGACGAGTACCCGGGGCCGCGGAGTTTGGGGAGGAGCGCGCAGCGGGCTTGGCCCCAGGAGGTGGACGGCGTGCGCCCGGCAACCCCTGCTCTGTCCCCGAGGCTGGCGCTTTGCTCCGAGGCTTCCCCTCCAGCCGGTGCCCCTGATGCCGCGGAGGGAGCCGGCTTCTCTCGCCTCCGGGTTAGAGGGTGACTCTGCGGAAGGCGGGGACCCCGAGGACCCCAGCTCCGCCTTGGGGGACCCTGCAGGCAGAGTACTGTGAGCCCGCGCGGCCCGACCACTTGCAGAGGGAGTCGAGGGCCACCTCTCGGAGGGACGAAGCTCTAAGGGTGGCGCAGATGGGCTTGTTTTTGTTTTTGCTTTTTCGGGCAGTAGTGGGGTGTGAACTCAGTACCTTTCGCTCACTAGGCAGGCTGAGCCACCCCCCAGCCCTTTTTGCTCTAGTTATTTTTCGAATAGGGTCTTGGGTTTATGCCCCGGGCAGGCCTGGGCCTCCATCCTCCTATTTATACTTCCCTAGTAGATGGGATGACAGGCGCGCCACCACCCTGGCCTGGATGGTTCTTAAGACACCGCCCTTCCCGTCTCACTCCTGGCACCGCCACCTCCACCACCGCGTGTAGGAACACGCGTGACTGACTGTAGGATGTGCGCTGTGGGTTATCTGCCGGTTTGTGGCTGTCAAGGAAGGGACCCCCACTGCGCCTACAGGAAGAGACGCACCCTGCCTGTGGGTGGTGGCGTGGACCATCTTCAAAAAAAAAAACACAAAAATAAACAGCCAAACACTGTGCCACCTCCACAAAAAAAAAGAAAAAAGCTTTCTTTCCCATCTCCCCTCCATGCTGTCTCTGTCCTCCACTTTCTGGTGTTCTCAGCCCCCTTCCCTCCACTGTCACTGGTATCTGACTCAGAGGATGTGAAAGAAAGGATATTTCTCATCAAGTTTTGTAGATGATTACCAAAACAGGGTGAAGGGTGAGTGACTGTTTTGAGACAAAAAGTGTTTTTCGTGTAAGCGATGGGAGAACCGTCCCTGTGATTTCCACTATTGGGCAAAACAGAGCGATATACTCGTTAGTTCCTTCCTGCAGACTTTGCACAGAAGTGTCCCAACGTGAAGGATTTGGTGGTTGGTTGTGGGTGGCCGGTGCGTACCAAACACAAAATACTGTGCTAGGAACTGAAACTGTGAAGAAATACTCCTGAGACTCAGCTAGGAGGCAGGAACTGTTTTGCACAGCAGTCTATAGCAAGTCCTCTTTGCACAATGGGTGAGTGTACAGAATTCCAGGGAAAAGAAAAGTTTCTTCCAGCTGGGCTGTTTTTTATGGGAAAGATATTTTGGGTATTCCTGAGGGATAGTGGGAGCCTCAAAGACAGAGGTTGGGCCAGGCGTGGTGGCTCATGCCTATAATCTTAGTTACTTCCTTATCTATTGCAGCAGTGAAGATCAAAAGGATCTTAGCTTAAGGCTAGCCCTGGCAAAAGGTTAGCAAGACCCCATTTCAACGAGTAAAAGCATCCCAGGCATCCCAGCTACTAGGGAAGTGTGAATAGGAGGATCTTCATCCGAGCTGGATGATATTCTGAAAATATCAAGATCAACTGGACACTGGTGGCTCATGCTTGTAATCCTAGCTACTTGAGAGGCTGAGATCAGGAGAATCATGGTTCAAGGCCAGCCAGGCAAATAGTGAGACCCCATCTCCAAAATAGCCAGAGCAAAATGGACGGGAGGTGTGTTTCAAGTGGTGGAGTGCCTACTTTGCAGTCAGGGAGCCCTGAATTCAAAACGCAGTCCCACCCAAAAACAAAAATGCAAAAAAGAGCTTGGGTTATGGCTTAAGTGGTAGAGTGCCTGCTTAGCAAGTCCTGTATTCAAAGTCCAGTACTGCCAAAAAAGAAAACAAAACAAAACAAAAAAACAGGTGGCAGAAGACACCTGAGCCAAGGTCCTTGTGTGGAACAGGGTAAATTGTGTGACTGGAGTGCATGGGGGTTGTCTGTGGAGCAGGAACCGGAGATGGGGACTCCATCTTTACATGGCACAGAAGCTGAGCTAAAAGGGACAGAGGTTTTTGCTTTTTCCAGTGCTGAGCAGCAAGTCCAGGGCCACGCACCCTTTGCCGCTAAGCTCTGTCCCCTGCCCTAAAGGGTTTGACTTTTAATTCCACAATGAAGTGGCTGAGACTCCTGAGCAGGAGCCAGCATGATTCCAGGCCAGGCTTGTCTGTAGTGTCCTGTTCTTCTCCTCCTCTCCCCTCCATCTGCACCTGGCTTTCAGATAGCTCATTCCCATGCACAGACACCTTCCCTGCCCCACTGGCTGAATGTCCTTTGAAAGGAAAGAAGGCATGCCAGGTGCTGGTGGCCCATGCTATAATCCTAACTAGTTAGAAGACTGAGATTGGGAGGATCAAGTTTCAAGGCCAGCCTGGGCAAAAAAGATTTTGAGTCCCCCCCCACCCTTCTCAATGGAGAAAAGCTGGACATGGTTGTATGTGCCTTGCCATCATAGTGACAGCTGAAAGCCTAAAAAACAAGAAGGTCATGGTCCAGCCTGGCATGGACAAAAAGTGAGACCCCCCATCTCCAAAATAACCAGAGCATAAAGGGCTGGGGGTGTGGCTTAAAAGGAAGAGAGCCTGTCTCTCAGGTGTGAAGCCCTGCATTCAAACCCCAATAAGTGTAAGTGTAAGTAAATGGTAGAGCACTTACTTAGCATGCACAAGGCCCTGGGTTTGATCTTCAGAACTGTGAAAAAGAAAAGACACCACACTGTTCAGGTTTCTCTCTGTCCCTGTTGTTACGTGTACACGATATGATACGGTGGAGGGGAGGGAGACCCACAGACCTGGGTCTGCATCCAACCTTCCCACAGACAGTCTCTACAACCTTGGACTGCCTAGGCCTGTGTTCGCCCAGTGCCACCATCAGAGGACAGGGTGTACCATCTCATTAAGCCTGTGCCACTTTCCAGAATACAAAGTCTTCTGAAACCTGGGTGGATTTTCTTTTTTCTTTTTTTTTTGGTGGTACTGGGGTTTGAACTCAGAACCTTCTGCTTCCTAGGCAGGAGCTCTGCCACACTCAGCCCTTTTTGGCTTTAGTTATTTTTCAGAGAGTGTTTCATGCTTTTTCCACTGGGGCCAGCTTCGGACTGCAACCTCCTACCTACACTTCCTGCATAGCAGGGATTACAGGTGCAAACCCCCACACCTGGCTTGGTTGAGATGGGGGTTCTCAATAACTTCCTCACCATGGGCTGTCCTCAGACCTCTATCCTCCCAATCTCAACCTCCAAAATAGCTAGGGTTGCAGGCATGAACCACACCTGGCCAAACTGGAAGGAGATTTCTGCATGCCTGTCCTGTGCCTAGCTCAGTTCTGCATGTGCAGGATATAGGGGCTTGATGAGTACATGTTGATTGAAAGAATAAAGGATGCAGGAGAAAGGAAAGAATGGTTCCCTGTTGGAAAGCGGTGATGAACTGAGAGGCTGGGCACTGGTCCTGGTGGCCTGGATTTAGCACCTCAAAAACCAGGTGCTGATTTCCCCACAGAAGGCAATGCAGGGACAGCATGAGTGATTGCACTTCCCCGTGCTCCCTCTGCCTCCCCCTGCCTGGGTTCCTTACAGGCTTGGAGAGCCCATCAACAAAGACGATGACGCCCAGGTTGCTCAGCACGAACGGGCACACCGTTGCATAGACAGGATGTTTCGTTACAATTCTTTTTCCTGAGCACTTGTGGTTAGGGCTGGTGGCAGAGCGACTGTAGCTCAGCCCTTTATCTTCTGGTTGCCCTGAATCCCTGTCAGCCCTGACACTTTTCCCCACCGTGAACGGCTGTGCTCTGTGGATGTCCTGTCCCTGCCCCCCTCCCATCCCCAACCCACCCACCCTGCCATGGCCTAGGCTGTCAGGCTGGGCACTGGGGTGCTGCCAGTGTGGAACCAGCAGTTTACAGGGCTGTTTATTGCCCCACTTCTCACCCTGTCTGTTCACTGCTTTCATCAGGCTGATCTGCCATAGGAGACTGACTTTTTTTTTGTGGTGCTAGGGTTTGAACTCAGGGCCCTGAGTTCACGCTTGCTAGGCAGGTGTTCTACCACTTGAGCCACACTTTCAGTCCTTTTTTCCTTTAGCTATTTTTCAGGTAGGATCTTGTGATTTTTTTCACGGACCTCAATCCTATTTATACCTCCTTTGTAGCTGGATGACAGGCATGTACCACCACCCGCAGCCAATAGTTTGAGATGGGGGTCTCATGAACTTTTTGGCCAGACTGGCCTTGTCATTTCTTCCTTTTAATCTTCCCTCTGAATGGAGAGGGGTGGCCTAAGGTATCCTTTTTTTATTTTGAGGCAGGCTAGCAGTGCTAAGAGCATGGGTTCCAGAGCAAAGCTGTGTAGTTTAGTGTATCTCACCTCCATGGGCCTCAGTATTTTCATCAGTGAAAATGGGATCACGGGAGGAAGTATGCAGAAATGCACTGTCAGTGATTTGATCATCATGTGAGCATCCCAGTATGCACTTACACAAACCTTCATGTGATCTCTTGAGGCAACCAAGAGACGCGCTGAACATGAGATTTGCACAGCACGCTGTTCCCAGTGAACTTTTTAAAGTACAGGAGTGTGCTCAGAAACTGATAAAAAGCATGGCATATGCACACATAGACCAGTCGCAGTCGTGAGTTATCGTTATCAGGTGTTGTGTACAACACGCAGTTTGTGCGCATAGCTTTATGGGACAATCCTCCTGATCTCTGCCTCCTAAGTAGCTAGGATTACAGGCGTGAGCCACAGCCACCCGGCTGTCTCATGATTTTTGAAGAATGAGCAGTTGGCTTATTGTTGGTTTTTATTTTTGTTTTGTTGGGGGTTTTGTTTTGGTTTTGGTGGTGGTACTGGGGTTTGAACTCAGGGCCTCACACTTGCTAGGCAGATGCTCTACCACTTGAGTGACACTCCCAGCCCTTTTGGTGTTGGTTATTTTGAGATAGGGTCTCTCTTTATGCCCAGACTGGCCCAGGCCATGACTCTCCTATTTGTGCTTCTCCATGTAGCCGGGATGACAAGAACTCACCACTGCAGCCAGCCATTTGTTGAGAGTGGAGTCTTGGGAACATTCTGCTCAGACTGGCATCTAACCATTATCCTCCAGATCTGTGCCTCCCAACTAGCTAGGATTATAGGTGTGAACCATTGTAAGTGACCTGTTGTTGGTTTTAGGTTTTATTTTGTTTTGTTTTCAGTACTGGGGGTGGAACCCAGGGCCTCACACATGCTGAGCACATGCTGTTCCACTGAGTTACATCTTGTACCCAACCCCAAGAATAGGACGTTTGAAGTAAAGAGATTAGGGTGACTGCTGGGGAGGAAGTTAGGACACAGAAAAAGACCTGTCGTAGTATCTATGAAGATTGTGAATGCATTTTTTACATTGCTACAAATATTACATTAGTATAAATCCTGTATTGGAATTAAACTATAAGGAAAATAACTATTGTTTCTTCCCCTAAATAAATGTTTTCATTTGCTTATCTCATTTTTAAATCATTTTTGTTTAGAGTAACATCACAGATAAACTTTTTTTTTTTTTTTGTGGTACTGGGGCTTGAACTCAGGGCCTACACCTTGAGCCACTCCACCAGAGTTTTTTTGTGATAGATTTTTTTGAGATAGGGTCTCACCATCTATTTGCCTGGGGCTGACTTTGAACCGTGATCCTCCTGATCTCTGCCTCCTAAGTAGCAAGGATTGCAGGTGTTAGCCACCAGTGCCCTGGCAAACTAACTCTTAATTAAGGTTTCATGTAAGAGATCCTTTAAAAATGGTACTGAGATGTTTGAAACCAAAAACAGCCTCACCCATAGACCTGCTCATTAAAGGTTTATAAGTTCTCTTATTTATTATGACACTTTCTTCCGTATTTCTGAAAGTACTGATTTGTTAATACTTCCTTTGTTGATTTTAGAGCTCATGCACTGAGCTCTAAAATATAATACATGCGATGAGAATTTCATTACCTTCCTCCCTGTCTCCTCCCACCTCCTGTTATGGTTGCATCCAATCTAGCTGATTCTGTATTCAGCGTGTCTCTGTGACAACTGAGCATCTCCCTGCGGAGGCAGATGTGCGCCTTGACCAGGTTTCATTTCTGGTCCAGTTCTCCCTCTGCCCCCTCGTGACTCGTCTGTGCTTTAATTCTCCATGTCCATAATCTTCCGTGTAACGAGTCTTAGTTTGCTCTACTAGATTTTTTATATCATTTTCCCTCCCCCCAGTCATCAGATATTCCATCGATTTCATCCCCCTTCCTCCAGAGAACTCCATCCTGGGGCCCTCTGCTCACCAGTTCCCACCTGGCCTGGCTGCTCAGACCTGAGGCCTGACGTTCACACCAGACATCCCTCGATCCTTTGCCTTCCTCCTCAGGGGCTGTGCCCTCATTTTGCTGGACCATGTCCTTCTACGATTTTCTAATTATATGAAAGATAGGTGGACAGGGGAGTGGCTCAAGAGGTAGAGTGCCTGCCTAGCAAAGCTGAGTTCAAACCCCAGTACTGCCAAAGTATAACATTTTATACACACACACACACACACACACACACACACACAGAGGATGTACATAGAATACATAACATTATTTTTAAAGTCTTTACTTGTGTGGAAATCATCTTTGTTCTGCCCTCTTGCTTTTTTTGGTAATTTAGCTGTGGATAATCTAGGTTAAAGATTATTTTCCCTCCGATCACAACAGTACACATGCTGACTGTGCGTGCTACTTGGTGTGTGGTTTCTAGCGCATTTACAGGGACCCTGTGAATTTTCCATGACTGATGTGTAACAGGAGCTGTAATTCTGGCTCCTTTCCCTTCCCCAACTCTGGCAGCATTGTTATCCCGACTGAGGATTGGAAGCCTCTAGATTTCGGGGCCTTTTTACCAGAGCACCCAAAACTACCCTCTCAGTGTCTGTTACAGTTGTAAACTTTCTAGCTTGTAAAAGTCCAGTCCCTTTGCCGTCCACCACACTCCTTCGTCTCAGTTGGGCAAAATGAAAGAAGTGTGAGAAGATGCCGCCCTAATACCCACTGCCTCCAAGCAGTCCCCAAAAGTGAGGTGAGAGGGCTGCATAAATTTCATTCCTGAAAAGGAGCCTTGGAAAGGTGTCTGGAGCCCAAGTGTGAACTGAAGTTCTTTCTCAGCTATAATTACCACCTTCTTTCTCTCCACAGGGGCTGAGCTGCACAGTCAAAAACAGTAAGTGCTCTTTTTCTTTCCTTGCTTGCTCTGTTAGTGAACTGCTGCAGACGTCATCAGTTCAGACCATGGGTTGTCCCTCAGCAGGACCGTCTGGAATTGGGCACCATGCTTCCTAAAGGGAACACTCCTTATGCAAAGGTCAGGAAATGGGAAGCCTTTTTGCCTTTTTATTTTTTGGCAGCACCGGGGTTTGAACTCAGGGCCTCATACTTGCTAGGCAGGCGCTCTTACCACTTGAGCCTCTCCACCAGCCTGTCTTGTAGATTTTGAAAGAATTCTCTAGCAAGCCTGTCCTGCAGCTGAATCTGTTGCAGTTTGTCTCTGTAGACAGAAATCTGGGAGGCTGGTTGAGTTTGAATCAGGAATTTTGGTTTTTTGGGGGACAGAGGCTATGGGAATGGGACCCAGGGCCTCACTCATGTTAAGCAGGGGTTCCACCACTGAGCTGTACCCCAGTACCAGGTTTGGTGTTCAATCCAGGAGGAGGCACATGATTCATGTGTCTGTGCTAATTTGGGACCCAGGCAGATAAAAACAAGGTCACCACTACTGCCCTACCCTCTGGTGCCCCCACTTGGAATCACTGCTTCATCTAAAATTTGTTTAATGCTGGTGACCCCAGACCAGCCATAGAAAGAGCACACGGGGTAGTGAAGCCGAGCCCCTGCCATGGGCCACAAAGGTCGTGGGCCCTGTACTGTTTACGAGCTAGCGTTAGCTCTCTGGACATGCTGGGGGCACCTGGGGCCTCGACTGCACGTCTCTGAGAGCTGCTTTTTCCTGGCTTCCAGGTACCTGCCTGGATGACAGCTGGATCCACCCTCGAAACCTCACTCCTTCTTCCCCCAAGCATGTCCACGTCCAGCTGGGCATAGCCCACACCCAGCACAGAGACCTAGTCCCTGTGGTGCACATCGAGTGGACGCTGCAGACAGACGGTGAGTGGGAATGGCATCGGGTCCCGGTTCCGCCACCTCCACAGGCGGCACCGCCAGCTCTGCCATTCAGACTCAGAAGTGTGCTCCTGGACCCTTGTGGATGAGGGCTCGTGTTTTGGGCTGGAAGGATCCATCATTTCATGTAGTTAGTACTGCTTCAGAGTGTCAGATAGGGACCCACAGTGACACCTTCTCATCACACTGTCCTGCATGGACGGCTTTCCTTTGCCTGAAATTTTAATTACCCTGAAAAAAAGAAAGGCAAGTGCTTCATCTTATGAAAATGAAAATGTTAACACATTTGCCAGTTGCTTTTTCCCTTCATTTAGGGGCCAGCACTTTTTAAAACCCCCCAAAACCTCTTCTTGGATAGTTTGCAGACTTGGGAAGGTTGGGGTAAATGGAGACAGCCCCAGGTCTGTGAAAGGGCGTGGGCGAGTGTTTTCTGTAAGCACAGCCTGCGTGCTCGCTGCCCTCTGCCACAGCCTCAGAAGGGACGTAGGACGGTTGTGTTCATTGCCCGTGCCATGCTGCCAGTGCTCTGGCCACAAGTTTGCAAAGCCTTTGTCGCTAGTCCAGTATACTGTCACTTGTCCTTGTCCAGCTAGGAAGTAGCTATCTACAAGAGAATAGGCTGAGGTCAACAGGGAGCAAAAAGGAGCAGCAAGCAGGGAGTTAGGGAAGAGGGACAGATAGGGAGGTGGCACGCCCAGTGGTTTGTGTAGTTGATCTGCATGTGTTTGTCCCTCTCTTCCTTGACTTTCAGCCAGCATCCTATACCTGGAGGGCGCAGAGCTGTCTATCCTGCAGCTGAACACCAATGAGCGTTTGTGTGTCAAGTTTGAGTTTCTGTCCACACTGAGGCATCACTACAAGCGGGTAAGAAGACGGCAAGTGCACCATGCTTCTCTGAGGATGCCAGCATGGGCTTGTCCCCAAATTCACATCCTGATTAGGAGGAGTAAAGAGGCAAAGGCACTGGAAGATCTGAGGAAATCAAGATGACTTCCCCAGGGGGACACATTGTGTCCTCTGTGAGCCATAGTGAGGGACAGGACCTGGTGTACCACCCTTGCTGCTGCTTCTTTTTTTTTTTTTTTTTTTCATACTGGCGATTGAATTCAGGGCCTTGTCTTTGCTAGGCAAGTGCTCTACCACTTGAGCCACACCTCATCCCTTTTTGTATTTTGGGGATAGGGTTTCACTTTATGTCCGTGCCACTTGGACCCCAGTCCTCCTATTCTCATGCTGTGTCACTGGAATGACAGATGCATGCCACCGTGCCCAGCTGCTGGTTGAGAAAGGGGCTCAAAAACCTTGTTGCCTGGGTTGGCTTTGAACTTGATCTTCCTGATCTCCACCTCCCAAGTAGGTAGGATTACAGGTGTGCCTATGAGCCACTGTGCCCTGGTCATTATTTTCCCCCTTTTTCTTTTTTTTCCACTCTGGTGGTACTAGGGTTTGAACTCAGGGCCTCATGCTTGCTAGGTCGGCACTCTGCCACTTCAGCCGCTCTACCAGCCCTGTTTTGTGTTGGGTTTTTTAAAAAATAGGGCCTCGAGAACTGTTTTCCCAAGACTGGCTTTGAACCTAGATCTCTGCCTCCTGTGTAGCTAGGATTACAGGTGTGAGCCACTGGCACCCAGCCCTTTTTCTTCTTTTGTTTTTTTTTGTGGTGTGGGGATGGGACCTAGGGCCTCACACATGGTGGGCAAGTGCTCTGTCACTTGATCTACATCTCAGCCCCTTAGCTTTCATTCTGAGAGGAAGTTGAATTGGGGGACCACTTCCATAGCCATCTTTATGTGTAACTTGGATTAATCTGGGGCTTGCCTGTGTCCAGGAAGAAAGAACTTTGCCCAGGCAAAAGACCTGCTGTAGGTCTTTCCATTTTAAGAAACCAAGTGTCACTGATGCACAGGTCGGCCTGAACCCCTGGACTCCAGCCTCCAGCAGGTCAGCCTTACAAGTCTGTCCTGGATTTTGCTGCTCACAGCTAGAGTGCAAAATGTTGATTCTTATTAGTTAGTTGAAAGCAGTGGTTTCTAAAGTGTGCTCCCTCCCTGCACCACAGTGTCACCTGGGAACTTGCTAGAAAGGTATTTTGCGGTCCTAACCCAGACTTCCTGAACCAGAAACTGTGGGTAGAGCCAACCACACACACACAGTTGGTGTTTGTTGTTGAATGGTGGCCCTCTGGTGATTCTGATAACATGCTAGTTTGAAAACTACTGGTTTAAATCTGCAAATGACGGCTTTAAAACAAGTGAGATCCCCCGTAGAAACAAGAAGCAAAGACAGAGCCCCTGTCCAGTGTTCAGTGAGGACTCCAAACTTGAGGGTGAGGAACAGGTACCTGGACCTACTGGGCCTTGTTTTTACCCAGTGGGATGAAATCTCAGCTGGCTATGTTCTCACCGAATTACCAGCTTTACAAGTGGTGGGGACGGGGTATTTGGGTACAGACGAATCAGGTGTGTGACCTGTCCAACCCCCCTTCTTCCCTTCTCTTCAGTGGCGCTTCAACTTCAGCCACTTTGTGGTAGATCCTGGTCAGGAGTATGAGGTGACCGTTCACCACCTGCCCAAGCCCATCCCTGACGGGGACCCAAACCACCAGTCCAGGACCGTCCACGTGCCTGGTAAGAGTATCCGGTGGCTTGGACAGCAGCCTCCTGCTTGGCTTGTGTGGCTGCCATTGCCTGCACGTGGTCCCCACAGGAAAAGCAGGTGCCAAGGCCTGGGAGCTCCTTGGTGTGGGGCTGCAGCCTCCACTCCCTGAAGGCAGAGCTTGTTCTCAGTTACACAACACCGAATGTGGGCCCAAGACCACAGAAGGGTGATGGGAACCAGAGAACTCCTCCTTCTGTCCAGAGTAGTAGCTTCCAGCCCAGAAAGAGTCAGGAAGACAGAGCCACTATGGGAAGGATGGTGACCCTGTACTCTACCTACTCCTGGCTTTTCCCTTTTTTCTTCATTTCCCCCCCACATGCTACCTCTGTTTATCCAGCACCCTTCCCCATATATCTCACTCTCTCCTCCTTCCCACTAATCCAAACTGCCTGTGATCATCCTCTAAATATCATCGGATGTGTGCGCCTCCTATGACTCTGGCCTCCCTGCAACCTCAGCCACTGCCAACACCATTTCTCTTTGTTCAGATCTAGCCACATCTGGAGCTCCAGCCCCCTGGGAACAAAGCCTGGGTCTTACATCCATTTGCATACTATCCAGAACCTCACAAATTGCCTTTGCCGTAGCTGGTCAGGAAATGCTTCTTGTTGTTGTCTTGTTTTGCAGTGCTAGGTGTTGAACCCAGGGCCTCATGCATGCTAGGCAAGTGCTCTACTACTGAGCTCTACTCCAAGTTCAGGAAATGCTTGTGAAGGATGGTGATAGCCATCTAAGAACTGAGGAAGCTGGGAATTGTTGGCCATGCAGAAAGAGCTCATAGCTGGGAGGAAGGAACTCTCAAGAAGGTTCTAAGAGAGGAGGGCCAAGACAGCCCAGTTGTCCCAGTCCAGTGTTATCTCTGGCCTAATGGCAGCAGTCCATCCTGGAACCCACTGTGAAGGGGCTGTCTTTGAATAAGCCTCCCAGAGAGAAAAGGATTGTGACCACAGAGTATCAGAAGTAGCAAGAACAAACTTGCCAAGGCAAAGACTTAATGATTTCTCTTTGTTCTGGGCTGGCAGACTGCGGGGACCCCAGGATGAAGATAACCACGGCATGTGTGAACTCAGGTAACTGGCTGACCCAGAAGTACCTTCCCTGGGTGCACACACAGGCACACACAGCCCTTCTCACTCCCACCCACACCTGTGTCCTCGGCAGGCAGCCTGTGGGACCCCAATATCACTGTGGAGGCCCTGGAGGCACAGCTCCGGGTGAGCTTCACCCTGTGGAATGAATCCAGCCCTTACCAGATCCTGCTGAGCAGTTTCCCACACATGGAGAACCGGAGCTGCTTTGAATCCATACAGCAGATACCTGCAGTAAGCACACTTCTTAACCCTTGAGCCAAGATTAATTCCCGGTGCCAGAAGCTCGGGTCCAGCACCGCAGTCAGCAGCCATTGGGGCTGCCTTTCCCTCTAGAGTCCATCTGTCCTGTCCTCATAGCTGGCTGTTTAGTGTGTCAGTTTAATCTGCTCTGCCCACCCCTCAAGTCCTGCTCCTCTCCCTCCCCCCACATCCTCCCTGTTCTCTTTTTGTTTGGCTGTGTTTATTCTACTTTAAAAGGATTTGAAGATTAAAAAAAAAAGAAAGAAAAAGAAATTTGAAGGTGCAGGCAAAAGGACAGTAATGATAAGAGATGAAGTGAAGCCGGTTAGTGCAGAAGTGTGTGCTGTGGCCTGCCTGTACACCTCCTGCTGATCAGTACAGATTTGGTCCAGCCCCAGCAGCCAAAGCCGAGGGTTACTAGGTATGCTTAGGAGTTGACAACAAACCCTGCAGACATGTCAATTTTTCTGGAACAGAAATCTGAAAAACATTTCTTCCCCTGGCCTTCTGTGCACTGGTCCACAGAGTCATGTCCCCAACAGTCCCCGGTGGCTTCCTTGAGGGTGAACTGTGGCAGGTTCTTACCCAGTAAGACCTTTCCCATCCTCTCCTCTCCAGCCCAAGCAAGAGAAATTCCACCAGCAGATCAACGTCATGCTTACTCTACCCAACTTTAATTGGTGCTGCCATCACCGAGTCCAGGTGGGTGCATGCAGTGCAGACAGATATGCGAGGGCACGGCAGGTGGGCCTTCTGCTAGAAAGGAGGGCAGCTCCAGCTTGTGCTTTCCCTGAACACCAAGTGCCACCACTATGCAGGATTCCCTGTCTGGCTAGGTGCCATCTCTGCCTACCCTATTCTCATCCTTGCATGGGTTTTGACCTTTCTTACAAGACCTGGTCCAACAGCCGGTGGAGATGGGGTGTCGCTTTGTTACCCAGGCTGCCTAAGTTCAGACCTGGGCTCTTGCCTCCCGAGTAGTTGAAACTACAGGTGCTGCCACCACAGCACCTGTGAAGATCATGGCCTGATCTTCACTAGGGTGCACTATTCACAAATTTCTCTGCGGGTGAGAAGACCCGGGTGGGGAGTCTTCTGGTACACGTCTTCCCCAGTTCTCTGCTCCCCCAGGTCCAGCCCTTCTTCAGCAGCTGCCTGAATGACTGCCTGAGACATGCTGTGACCGTGCCCTGCCCAGAGGTCCCACAGGCTCCAGGTAGGAGGGACGTGACTGTCCTGGGTATGTGTGGGGTCAGACGGGGTGAAGGCCAGCTGTTGGTATTGAATTGTGACCTGGTGGGGGGCAGGGTTTAATTTAACTTGGGGTCATTTGTGCCTGATGTAGAGAGTGCAGAGTGATATTCTCAGGTGGGCCTCCTGGCTGCCTGTCACTGGCTGTGCAGCCTTGAGCAGACTGCTAAACCCTTCTGGTCCTCTGCTTCCTTGACTGGAAACTGCAGTTGTTGCTCTCTCAGAGTTAGTTCATCCCACTGATGGATGGTACTGCTTCAGCATGTCATCCATTAGAAGCCCTCACAAATTGTGAGTCACAATACAGTGAAGTAGAGGCTCCCCCACCCCAGGTTCATGGGTGGGGAAATTGAGGCACAAATGTTAAATAACTTGCCCGAGATCACCCAGCAAGGATGTGGCAGAGAGTCAGGTTCCTCCCTGAGCCTGTGGGACTTAGCAACCCACTGTTTCCCTGTGCTGCTGCCCACCTCTTCAGAAGCCAATGCCCCCAGTTACATGAGGCCACTGCCACATGCAGATCTGACGTGGCGCAGGCTGGAATAGACACCCAGCCCCGAAGCAGAAGAGGAGGCATCTCTTCCTAGACCAGCACGTGCAGTGCTCTGTGGGCATGTTGCAGTAAGCTTAAGCCAGGTCTCCCGTGGTGGGCTCGGGGTCACAGTCGTCGAGAGGTGAGGCTTGTAGTCACTGCTAATAATTAAGAGTAATATTTACCCCTTTTGTTCTGTTTTGCAGACTCAATTGCAGGTAAGCTCAGATGTCCCTCCCACGTATCAGGACATTCTCCGGGGGGCATGTGAGAGGCCAGCCCAGGGTTCAGCTCCCAGAAGCCGGGACTAGAGCTGGGACCCCCACCTGTTGTTCATGCTGTTCTGCTCCCCACAGACTACATTCCCCTGTGGGTGTATGGCTTCATCACGGGCATCTCCATCCTGCTGGTGGGCTCCGTCATCCTGCTGACCGTCTGCATGACTTGGAGGATCTCTGGTAAGGCGCATAGGCTGTAAGGACCAGGCTGGCCTGGGACTCCCCCAACTCCTCACTCTGCCCCCGACCCCCACCCTGCTGTGTCCACTGCAGCCTCACACCTAGACCTTCTGTAAGGCTGTTCTCAGAGGGCACCCTTCGGCCACCCTTCAGTCTCAAATTAAACACGGGAAAAGCCTCTCGCACCATACAGTGAGCTCAGCTGTCAGGATCCTGGAACCAGTGTCAGGCTGACCTGGGCTCAAAGAGCAGCTCTACCACTGCCTATGGGCAAATGCTTCATTCTCTAAACCTTAGGTTTCTCGGGTAAAATGGTCATTGTCATGATACCCACATCATGAGGCCATAGGGAGAATCAGCTGAAAAAATGCCCACGAGTTCTTCGCACGTGACACTTCACTCAATAGCTGTTAACCACAATTGTATTTATCGCTATTAAAGTTGTTGAAATGGGTTGGAAGGAGCTAAAGGGGAATTTCCTGCATCAGAAATGATGAGCTGGCAGGTGGAGCAGCCTGAACAACCCCATCCTGCAGCCTGCAGACTTGTACATCCGAGGTCAGGGAGAACAGCAAGGTGTGACAGGGAAGTCTCAGGCTTTGGACCCCCAACTCACAGTGTGGACTAGCTTTGCAATCATAGGCAAGTTACTGAACCTTAGATTCCGTTTTCTTCTCTGTAAAATGGGGTGATAATGCCTCTTCCCAGGGCTGTGGTGAGAATTAAATGAGGGGTCGAGGAAGGGCTTGCTGGTGGGCACAGCTGCTGTCGGTTCCTGCCCGTCTGCGCAACTCTGCTGGTGAGTTGTAGACGGGGAGAATGTGGGTCATCAGGTTAGAGGCTCAGCCTGTCCATGACCTAGGCCATTTCTTCAGTCACCCGAGAGGCTCATCAGGCTTAGATATTCATCATTTTGAATTTTACTATGGCCGCAGTAAAATTCACCACAGACGGTGAAGCTGCATCTCACTAGTGCTGCATAAACTCTTAAGCCTTGCTATAGCTGGTTGGGAGCTTTTGTTTCATTTCTGCTGTCGCAGGTGCTGGGGCTTTGCAGTGGTGGGTGTGGAACCCAGTGCCTCGCCCACCCTAGGCTGGCGCACTCCGCCCAGCTGCGCCCCAGCTGTGCCCCAGCTGCTTCTGACCATCTCCTGATGCACCCCACACCACGTGGTGATGGAAAGAGAAACCTCACTGGATACTAGACCATCTTTACAGTTCTGGGAAAAGCCCAGCGTGAGGACTGAAAATAATGTTCTAAATGTACTTCTCGGAGGCTGGGGCTATTACGCTGGCAGAGCACTTTCCTGGCGTGTGTGAAGCTCTGGCCCCAGCACTGCACAAAGGAAAGACAGACAGCCTACCACTTGGTCACCCAGGGATTCTGTTCATCCCAGCTATCAGGAAAGAGTTAACTCCTCACCACAGCGCTTTCATTGCGTATTCGAGGGCAGCGATTGCCCAAGTATGTCAGTTCTTTGTCCTTACCTCAAAAATACCAAGAGGAAATGTTGAAAGTAGCGCCAGAGGTTGGGGGGATGGGGGGACTGCTTTTGGAAAGCAATGTTGTAGGGTGTCTGCCTCCTGCAGTCACTACTTTCCCTCAAGTGGAGTCTGTTGACAGAGGCCAAACTTCAGAGAGGCTTGGGACCAGAACCACAGAGGGACTGGAGAGGACACCCCAGCATGGGTCTGGAGCCCCGAGCTGGGCAAGTGTCCCAGAATAAACCTTGGGACTCCAGCTGACCACATGCCTGGCCCTTCACCCACTATCTCTTCTGCCCACTCAGATCCATTTTGCAGAGGAAGAAACTGAGCTTCAGTTAGTAACTTTCCTGGTTACACAGCTTGTAGAGGCAGACGCAGGATTCAGCCATGCCCACACAGCTGCCTGCCAGCGTCTCTGCAAAGGCCCAAGGTGTTAAGTGTCTGCCCTTTGGCCCCCTTGCTCTCGCCCTTTGTCAGGATAGGCCAGCTCCCTGTTTCCTTTCAAAAATGCCACTCCAATAGATCTCTTTTCTTTTCAGGGTCTCGTCAGGGAAAGTATGGTGAAGACAGCAAACACACAGGTCAGTATCCCCTAGTCTGGATGGGTGGTCTGCACGTGTTTGGACAGATAGGTGGATTGCCATCTGCAGCCTGATTTTCAGTCCTCTCAAGAGACCCCACCTTTAGGATCCACCTCCCCACACCCCACAGGGCAGGCCCAGGATACCATTTTTAATCACTCAGATAAGAAAAGAAGGTGTGCACACCATATTTTGTGAAAAAAGGTCCTTCCCAGAGCAGACTTTTCCTCAAGCTTGTCTTTGTGCCTTTTTTTCTTTTTTTCAATTAAAATGATTGAAGTATAGGCCAAAGGCCAGATAGGAATGAGAGAGCTTCTTATTCACACAAGGCACAGACTGATTGCTTTTCAGGCTGCAAACAAGGCAAGACATGGCATCTGACTCATTCAAAGGCTGATGGTTCTTAGCCTAGGGAACCAGCTCCATGTTTGGCCCAGGTCCCTCAAGGCTGGCCAGCAGGGGATGGCGCCCTGGGCCTGGGTGTGAGGATCAGCGCGCGGTCTTGTTTCCCTTGTCTCGTAGACATCCTGCCTGTGGCCGACCTGACCCCACCGCCCCTCAAGCCCAGGAAGGTCTGGATTGTCTACTCAGCTGACCACCCCCTCTATGTGGATGTGGTCCTAAAGTTTGCCCAGTTCCTACTCACAGCCTGTGGCACCGAGGTGGCCCTCGACCTCCTGGAAGAACAGGTCATCTCAGAAGTGGGGGTCATGACCTGGGTGGGCCGCCAGAAACAGGAAATGGTAGAGAGCAACTCCAAAATCATCATTCTATGCTCCCGGGGCACCCGGGCCAAGTGGCAGGCCATCCTGGGCTGGAAGGAACCCGCCGTGCAGCTGCAGTGTGACCGCTCGAAGCCTGCAGGGGACCTTTTCACGGCAGCCATGAACATGGTCCTGCCAGACTTCAAGAAGCCAGCCTGCTTTGGCACCTATATCGTCTGCTACTTCAGTGGCATCAGCAATGAGAGCGACATCCCCGACCTCTTCAACATCACCTCCAGGTACTCACTCATGGACAAGTTTGAGGAGGTTTACTTCCGGATCCAGGACCTGGAAATGTTTGAACCTGGCCGGATGCACCGCGTCAGGGAGCTCACGGCAGAAAATTACCTGCAGAGTCCCAGCGGCTGGCAGCTCAAGGAGGCCGTGGACAGGTTCCGGGAGTGGCAGACCCAGTTCCCTGATTGGTTTGAGCGTGAGAACCTTCGCTCAGCAGATGACCAGGACCTCCCGTCTCTGGATGAAGAAGTATTTGAAGAACCACTGCCACCACTGGGGGGAGGGATCGTCAGGCAGAAGCCCCTGGTGCGGGAGCCCTTGTCAGAGGGCTGCCTGGTGGTGGACATCTGCGTCGGCAAAGAAGAAAGGGGAATGTCAAGGCTGGACCCTCAACTGCAGCCGCAGGGCAAGGTGGCAGCCCAGACCCGCCAAACCATGGTGCTCCCCCTGGAGCAGGTACCAGCAGCCCACGTGGAACCTGTCCTTCCTGCAGATGGCAACAGCACAGCCAGCCGGCTGGCCATGGTGGAGGACAGCGAGGCCTGCCCACTGCTTAGGGGCTGTGGCCCCCGGCGGAACAGCGTCCTGTTCCTCCCCGTGGACTCCAAAGACTCACCTCTCTGCAGCACTCCAGTGCCATCGCCTGACCACCTCCCAGGTGATGTAAGGTTGCAGCTGGAGGGCTTGATGTTGTCGCTGCTGCAGCAGAGTGTGAGCGGCCAGGCCCAGGAGGCCTGGGAGAGACCTGTGGTGGCCCTCCAGGATCCCTACACACCCTATGAGGAGGAGCAGCGGCAGTCTGTGCAGTCAGACCAGGGCTACATCTCCAGGAGCTCACCGCAGCTCCCTGATGGGCTGCTGGAAATGGAGGAGGAGGAGGAGGAACAGGACCTGGGGACATTGGCAGAGCTGTCTCCTGAGGACCTGCAGAGCCTGAGGCGCCTGCAGCGGCAGCTTTTCTTCCAGGAGCTGCAGAAGAACTCTGGCTGGGACAGCGTGCAGTCAGACAGCCCAGCTGTGGAAGGGCAGGCCCTCTCCTAAGGCCTCCTAGCTCCCGGGCCTAAAGAGACTGTGCGCGAGAGAGAGAGAGAGAGAGAGAGAGAGAGAGAGAGAGAGGAGAGAGGGAGAGAGAGAGAGAGAGTGTGTGTGTGTGTGTGTGTGTGTGTGTGTGTGTATTCATGTGTCAAGCGTCCTTCTTTAAAACGTGGACATCTTAGCTGAGTGAGAAGGGGCACACCTGTAGTGTGTGTGTGTGTGTGTGTGTGTGTGTGTGTGTGTGTGTGTGTGTGTGTGTGTGTGTGTGTGTGTATTCATGTGTCAAGCGCCCTTCTTTAAAACGTGGACATCTTAGCTGAGTGAGATGGGGCACACCTGTAGTCCTAGCACTTGGGAGGCTGAGCCAGGAATATCACTTGAGCCCAAGAGTCTGAGGCCAGCCTGGCCAACATAGCGAGACACAGCAAGATGTAGACATCGTGATTCTGATCTTCCTTTTATGTGACTTCATGGTCATCTCCTGTCCATCCCCACAAGAATCCATAGCCCACTTCCAGGAGGTAATGACCAAGTGGCCCGTTCATTCTTTCATTCGTTGATTCATTCATTCAGCATTTATTCTGCATCTTCTGTGTGTCAGACATTTTGGAATACTAAAATAAATTACACATGTCATGCCCTGAACACCGAGGAGCTTACCATCTAGAAAGAACGAGGAATTCACACAGAATTGTCAGGATGGGCTGGAGGCATGGCTCAGGGGGTAGAGCGCCTGCCTTGCAAGCACCAGTTCAACCCCCTCCCCTCCTGAAAAAAAAAAAAAAAAGAGGTCAAGATGGTCCTGCAAGCTGAACAGAAGCCCCTGCCTCTGGAAAACCGGGGACAGGTATCTGCCTCAGGGAGAGATGCCTGGAGGAGCGAGGTCTGAGCCGAAGGAGAAGCTGGTTTCCTGGGTTACAGGACTGTGGTTGGGATGGCACAGGCCTGGAAAAGGGAGCAGCTTGTGGAGTGCGTGCTGGGGAGCAGAGCCTGGATTGAAGGAGGGAGGCCAGGGGACGTGGATGGAAGGAAGTCAGAGCTCAGTGCGGGGAGGGCAGGGAGGCCAGGCTGAGGGCCTAACATGCCAGGAAGCCACCTCTGATTGTTTGGAGAAAGGAAGGATAGACATGCGAGGTGTGAAACCCAGCAGCGTCTGCAGAGGAGTCGGAGTCCCCAGCTCATGAGCTGCCTGAGGGCTAAGGCACAGGATTCCTCGGGGCTGCTGGCTGGGCCTGAGGCTGAGGCCAGCTGAGCTCAGGTGGTGCGAGACTCTGGGAGCCCTAACTTCCACACTTGAGGTCCAGCAACAGAGTGAAGTGAGGTGTGGAGGGCTGCAGGGGGCAGAGGTCTGGGAAGTCTCTCTGGGGGTGGGCCACTGTATATGTAAAGGTCTGAGGTTCAAAACTTGATCTCCTAGTAGCTGGGATTATAGATGTGAACTACCATGCCCAGCCCTCAAGACGTGAGAAGAGACTCCAAGGCCCAGTGTTTGAAAAGATGGCTCCCGACATGCCTTCTTGTGAAGACTTCTGTCTCGGGTCCTGAAGAGCACACAGCCTGCCCTCTGACCCTGGATTCCATGTTTCCCATTGTCTGTGTGTCAGCCCTTCACTGTCCTAGGCTATGGCGAGGAGGAGAGGACCCTGAAGTGCGATAGGAAGGGAAATATAAAGGATGTGTACATGCGCATGAAAGGGATGATGGTAAAAATGAATAAAGTTATCAACTCTATTAAGACCCTCTAGGAGTTGAGTCTCATGTTACCGTAGGTCAAGAAGTTCCTACTCGTAGAGTTCTTTCTTGCAGACCGATTTTGCCTCATGGCAGCTGCGCCATAGAGGCTCCAAGTCCCAGACAGTGTGTGGCCCCTGTTCAGTCCAGCGACAGCTAAGGACCAGGTGAGGGAGAAAAGGAACGGACCCTCTTCTCTCCTCCCCCTCTCCCAGCTGCCGAGCATGCTTCCTGTGACGTGCCCAGCTGCCCATAAATGGGCGTACGGTGTCCCGGGTGCAGAACACAGATCTATGCAGGACTGATCTGCAGGAGCCAGGGCTTCTGGCAGCGAACCCACCCCCTGGAGTCCACTGACCAGTTTGACCCAGAGCTCCCAGGCCTTGAACTCCAGCTGCTACCTTTTGAGGCTCTATCAATGAATGTCCTCAGTTGGTATGGTCCCCTAGGTCCCCTTTGTCTCCAGGGTGACATTTTTTCCCCTGACATCTTGATTGAGAAATTCACATACCATACAATTCACAGTTGGCCCTGTACAGCCCCTGGCTTTAGTATATTCAGAGTTCAGCAACCATCAGCACAGTTTTTTTTTTTTTTCATTTTTCTTTTATTATTCATATGTGCATGCAAGGCTTGGTTCGTTTCTCCCCCCCCCCTTACCACCCACTCCGCCCCCTCCCTCTCCCCCCCCCAATACCCAGCAGAAACTATTTTGCCCTTATTTCTAATTTTGTTGTAGAGAGAGTATAAGCAATAAAAGGAAGGAACAAGGGTTTTTGCTGGTTGAGATAAGGATAGCTATACAGGGCATTGACTCACATTGATTTCCTGTGTGTGGGTGTTACCTTCTAGGTTAATTCTTTTTGATCTAACCTTTTCTCTAGTTTCTGGTCCCCTTTTCCTATTGGCCTCAGTTGCTTTTAAGGTATGTGCTTTAGTTTCTCTGCGTTAAGGGCAACAAATGCTAGCTAATTTTTTAGGTGTCTTACCTATCCTTACCCCTCCCTTGTGTGCTCTCGCTTTTATCATGTGCTCAAAGTTCAATCCCCTTGTTGTGTTTGCCCCTTGATCTAATGTCCACATATGAGGGAGAACATACGATTTTTGGTCTTTTGGGCCAGGCTAACCTCACTCAGAATGATTTCTCCAATTCCATCCATTTACCAGCGAATGATAACATTTCGTTCTTCTTCATGGCTGCATAAAATTCCATTGTGTATAGATACCACATTTTCTTAATCCATTCGTTAGTGGTGGGGCATCTTGGCTGTCTCCATAACTTGCTATTGTGAATAGTGCCGCAATGAACATGGGCGCAGCGCAGTTTTAGAATATTTCTGTTACCCCAGAGAGGAACTAGCATCCATCAGTCATCAGTCCCTCACCTCCCCACCCCCAGGCACCCTGGTCTGCTTTCTGTCTCTGGATTCTCCTGTTCTGGACACACTGTACCTACAATGGAATCAAAATTCCATTCCTTGGGTTGGAGGTATGATTCAAGTGGTAGAGTGCCTGCCTAGCAAGTTTTAGGCCCTGAGTTCAAATCCCACTACCACCAAAAAACATGAAAAGAAAAAAAAGCCCCATCTTTATATTCGTATTATTCTGAACGATGCCCAGTGAGTAGCAGTGCACATCTGTGACCCAGCACTCGGGAGGCTGAGATAAGGTCTTGAGTTCCAGGCCAGCCTGGGCTACATAGGAAGACCCTGTCTCAAAGAACAGAACTCTGGTTTGGGAGCTGGGATGTAGCTCTGTGGTAGAGCACTTGGCCTGGCGTTTGTGAAGCCTTAGGTTCAATCCTCAGCACCACAAAAAAAAAAAAAAAAAAAAAACTACATACCCAGACGAGCCCCCACACAGGCACACCCCCTCTCCAGGTCAACACAGCTGGGGTGCAGAAAGCACCGGTCACTTTGCGACCAGACTCGTAGGGCCAGTGCAAACCCATGCCCCCTCATGTGAGCTCCTGGAGCTGTCCTCAGCCTTTTCTGACCTACTAATCTTGACCATACCAAAAAAAAAAAAGCAAAATTAGATAGTGATCTGGACATCGCTTACATAGTGCTTTGGTTCCCCAGTCCCACCAAAAAAAAGACTAATCCAACATGGTGCTTTGGTTTAAAACCAGTTTCTCTTTTTGGCTTAGGAAGGTGCTGCTTGGTCCATCCCTTAAGCATCTGCCCAGAATCTGAGCTGGGATCTCTGAATGTGAGGGCATGAGAGATTTTACTTGGCTCATGCTTAACATTAAATAAGACACAAGGGACAAGATGATGTCCTTATAGTGCAGTGGGTGGTTTTAATTCTGAAGACTCTGCAGTCCTGTCCTAAATAAACCAGGGGAGTGCTGGGCCCTGTCCTGCCTACATTAGCACCTCCTGAGAAGACCAACTTCTGAGGGCCGCCAGACACACACGCTAGTGGGCTCCAGCTATGGGAGAGAGCAATGGCCCCAGAGCCACTGCAGCCTGGTGAGTCCCACAGCCAGGTGTGCTGGACAGAAGGCTTCCTTACCAAGAGGAGGCAGCTGCTACAGGGCTAGGGTCCTGGCCTGTTGGTTGCCAGCTAAGCAACATTACTTCTTTGTTTTGGGAGGCACTGGGGTTTGAACTCAGGGCCTCACACTTGCTAGCCTGGTGGTCTACCACTAGACCCACAGTCCTAGCCCTCAAGTGACATTAATCATCATGAGAACCTCTTGTTGCATGCCCGCTGCCACCAAGACAGTTGGAGCTTCCACCACACTGCAGCCCCTGTCAGAAGCCCAGGGGCATCTTAGGTCTTCTGTGCCTCTGACCTGATTCTAGGGCAAAGCAGCTCTGAACCTGGGGTGCTAAATGGCCTCCTTTCCTGCTGTTATAGATCACTCTGTCCCTCTAGCGTTGGCTTTTCAGATTAAAGCGCTAATCCGTGCTCCAACACTTGAAATATATTAGAAGCTCGATAATGGGTTGATTAACTATGCCCATAGTGGAAAAATGGCAACTTCACAGCTCCTACAGAGTTGGTACATTACAGAAGACGATGTTAGGGAAGAATATAAAGCCCCCGGCCCTCGGCCTGTAGGAGAGGCTGTCAGGCTGGTGTGACCCCTGGTCCACACATCACGTCACTCCCAAATGGCTCCCAGGGTCATCTCCTTGCTCTTGGCCTCTCCCCACCTCTCCAGGCACCCTGGCCACCCCAAGTCCTAACACTGATTCCCACTCCTGTCTTGTCTGTGTAGAGCAGCGAAAGCAGCAGTTCCCCCAGGGAACCAGTCTTATCCATTGATGAAACATGGAGTCCTTTCTCTCATGATTTGAAGGGTGACAAGAAGTCTTGTCCAACAAGGCCCCACCTCTACCTTCCCTGGCTCGTGGACTCCTTTCCTAGGAGGAGCAGCCTTCTCTCACGACTGGATCCTTCTGTCTGGCTAGAGAGAAAGATGCAGCTGTACCATGAGGAGAGGAGAGAGAGGGCCTGCTGGCCCTGTGTGTGGCCCTGTGTGCGTCCACACCCTGGCAAGGTCCCATCGGCACTGACCTCTTCTACGGGATTTGCCTGGAAGATGAACACAGCGCTGCTTTTTAGCTAGAACTGAACTGTCATGGAAGGAAATTGACCCCAGTAGTGACTCCCAGGGAGCACAGGGTTTAGAAGTGACAGACGGCATGTGATATTCACAAGCCATCTATCTTCCAAGGCCTCAGGAAAAAGAGATGAAGCCACCTTGGAGGTGACATGAGAAGATGAGCCTGACAGTAAACCATTCTCTTCCCCACCTTGTCCATGCTGAACTGGTGTCCTAAGGTCGCCTCCATTTCTACCAGGGACCTTCTGGCAGGCTCCAGGTGACCAAAGCTGGTGAGCCCTAACTGGCTCAAGTCTAAGGAGTGTCTAACTATGTATAGCATGACTAGCCTAATCTTATTTCATATCAGATTGAGGAAGAAATGAAGACGCGGTGTTGTGTTCTGTAATCGTCTTGTGTATAAATTCTATTCTCTGTGAGGATTATCAGTGTCTTGAGGAAAAAGGATGGCTTTGCAAAGGTTGCCTCATTTCCTTCTTACCACAGCCCTGTGAGGTAGTGAGCATGACTCTGTCTTATAAATGCTGAAATAGTTCCAAGAGCTGGGGACTGCCCAGAGCCACACAGCTAGGAAATGGCCAAGGAAGCTAGCTGATTTTGCCTCCTGCGTCTTGCAAGGTCAGACCCCTGCATGTATGTATGACCTTTGGGATGGCTAGAAGCATCAAACTAGAGTGTAACAATCCACAGAGGTTTGACTATTACCATCTGCCTCTGTGCCAAGAAAAAAAATACTATGATTTTATTTTGTTACAGACCCAATGTTCTACTTTAGACTTAGTTGTCTCCTTCTTGTTAAAAAACAAACAAACAAACAAACAAACATAGTCTTGTTCTTCTCATTCCTACATAAAATTTTATGCTCTGGCTGGGTCAAGAATGATAGAGAAGGAAAAGGTATTTCAAAATTAATTTCTTGCCAGCATGGAGGTACCACCTCCCAGCTATTCAGGAAGCTGAAGAGGGAGGACCACTTGAGCCCAAGAGTTTGAGACCAGCCTCAAACAATTTGTTTCTCTAGTCTTTCCCCCTTTGCTAAGCTACTCCCGGAGCGGAAGCCAGCAGACCTGGCCAGACACAGTTCGCTAGCTCCCTGAATGGAGTGCCAACAGCCTAGCCCAAGTGTACCCACAATGTTAACACCAACCTATAAATGATGACAAATGTCACAGTGACATTTAAGAATTCAGTAAGGAAACCAGGACAGGAAAGATCTTAAAACAAACCATACAGGAATCTTGTCACAAGTCTCAAGTTTTTTATTTTCAGAACAGAGTCTGGTTTTATTTTTAAAAAGAGAAAGAAAAAAAAAAGTGTGAGAAATGCTAGTGAGGTACCACTTCCCACCCCCTTCTCCCTGCTAGCTCTGTTCCACAAAAACCCATTGGCTCAGTACCAGGGCCTAAGAAGAAATGGTCTTCATTGGACACCTGGGCGCATGCCTGCAGTCCCAACTACTCAGGAGGCTAAGGCGGGATGGTGAGCGCCTAGTAGTTCATGGCCAGCCTGGGTGACATAGCAAGTCCATGGGAACTGGTCTTTAGAGAGGCTCTACTCTTTTTTAAACAGATAAGTTTAGGGCTGGGGGTGGGTGGGATAGCTCAGGGGCAGAAAGCTTGCCTAATGTGCATTATGCCCTGGGTTCCAGCCCCAGCACCACAAGTAAATTAATGTTAAAAGAAACAGATAAAGTTTTGGGAGCTGAGGTAAAAGGACCCACCTTCCATGCTTGAAGGTTAGGAGCAGGCAGATCTAAATCCTAAGCCCAGGGCTCTTCTCTTCTGTAAACCTTTCAGCTGGTACAGGCCTGGGGGGGCTAGGTGGAGGGGGACAGCAGTGCACCGTCCTGGTCATGAGACCCTGGGAATAGCTCAGGTTTGACCCTGTGCTGCAGACACCCTAGAAAGTGAGGAAAAGGAAGCTTTCAGGTTCATTTCTTATTCTGAATGGGATGAGTGGAGTGACCGAAATGACCCAAGAAAGACAGCAGAAGGAAGGGCTGGGCCCCTGAGCATAGAGTTTCAGCAGCGATGTATAAAAGAGGAGGGCCAGAGGTGAGATGGGACCTCGTCAGGACCTGAACAGCCTAGCCGCTGCCTCAGTTGACCCTGTGGGCGGCATCTCTTGACTCTTGACATCTCACTGAACCATCGCAGCCTCTCATCCAGACCAGACAGCATTCAGTTTACATCAGTCACTCCGCAGCGTAGGGCAATGGCCATGAAAACAGTAGAGAGTGGGTGGGCCGGCAGGGCCAGCCATGGCTCAGACATCATGTCCTTTCATAGACGTTAGGTAGTAGAGAAATACTGCAAAGCTGGAGAGGATTCAGGAGCAGCAAACAGCTGTTGGTCCCCACCCGGGGCCTGGGCATCAGAACCTTGAGTCCAATCAGAAGAAAGAAGAGGAGCCAGTCAGGGGGAGGGGAGAAGGCAGAATGCATTGTAAAGTCCAGCTGGCCAGTGGCAGAGGGTGAGAGACCAGGAGCCCAGAGTGTGTGACTAACCACTTCTGCATCTTGCCCACTCTGAAAGCAAGGCAGGCCGCCAGCACTCTGTCGAGCCTTCACCCTCTCCTGGCTCTGTCCACGAGGATGTCTTCTGCTCACAGGTGCCAGGCAGCTGAGAGAGAAGAACTGAAGCAGCCCTTAGTTCTTGGAGGATCCCAGGCCTTTGGCCTGGTTGCTGAATTCATGGTCAGTGACTTGGCCTTCTGGGCCCTTCCCTGTGCTCTAGGGAAGGTCAACAGCAACAGCCACAATGCCAGCCAGCCAGGAGTTCTCTCCCAGTCTCAGGCTGTAGACAGAAGCAGGCTGGCTCTGTTGGCTCCTCTCCTGTTCACCTGTACAAGAAGTATTATGACCAGGGCTTTCAAGACCCCCAAACTCAAAGAACACTATACTAGGAAGGTAACTGAGGCCCAGAAAGTAAAAATTATATCACTCAAAACTAGTGAGTGACAGAACCAGAACGAGACCCAAGTCATCTGGTCCCTTATTTAGGATTTATTACACTACATAAAACTCCCAACACAGAAAAAAAGAAGGGGAACCAAATATTCTTAGGTTTCACCCCAGTCCCTGCCATCAAGGGTGGGGGGAGTGAGTATTTCCTGGCCTGGCTCCCTGCAGGATGACTCCTGCTTCTTACCTCCCCTAAAAATACTTATCCTGCCTCAGATTCCAAGAGCAATGTCCCACATCAAGACTAACAGGGGGCAACCCCTGTTATGTCCCTTGTCATATCCTCAGTAGTAGGACACTGGGTAAAGGCTGGGAAGAGGGCTCTGCAGGTTGCCTTTTTTCTAGTGAGTCCTGGAAGCAGAATGGAGGAGAAAGGTTGCCACCGTCCTCTCTGCTGTATACCAAGCTTCCTAGAAGGATGAGTGGGGAACTGAGTGTCCTACTCCACTCCACCCCCAGGAGGCCTAACCTAACATCCAATTAGGAACTCCACCAAAGCTGTTGCTACGAGCCCGGTTCCGACCCAGTCAGCACCAAACCACTGGAAAGAATAAGCATTCCGGAAACAAAGGGAGGAAGAGAAAGAGGGCAAGCCAATGGCTGGTACTCCACAGACCCTGTAAGAACTGGCACCGAACCCGAATGGGACCCAGTGGCCATGTTGAATGCAACTTCTGAGTGCCTTGTCTTTATTTTTTGCAAGCAGCATCAGTGTGTGGTGCAACAAAAGTTGAAAGCACGGAGGTAGAAAATGCTCACTCACCCAAGAAGGGTGCTGTTTGGTCCTTAGAGGATGGACCACTCCTCCCCTAGCTAGAAAGAGAGAAGCTGGATTGAGGAAGACCCTGGGTGAGCATCTCCCTTGGAGGGCAGCTCTCGGGGGCCCAGCTCTTCCTGGGAATTCATGGTCATGAATTCGGGCTGGAAAAAGGATGGTGGTATGTGTGACAGAACTCCTACTGGCTGCAAGGGCACAGGGCAGACACAAGGAAACAACACAAGGAAACACAGAGACATACAGTCCATCTACCTTCTGGAATAGAGACAGGGAAGAGTGGATTCCAGGTCAGTGAAGCCAGCCTAAGAGAAGCTGGAAGGCCCAAAGGCCTCCTGTCTGGACATCCCTATCCTCCACTCTCCCCCACAATGAATGGGAAGTAGGGTGAAAATGAAAAAAGCAGGTGGCCGGCCTAGTTATCCAGCCCCTTGGAAGTCAGGACAGGAGGCCTGCCTCCTCACCATGGCTGCTGGTCTCCCTCCAAGCCACCTTTACTTAAGAAGGGCACTGGCCTTTAGCCTCATTAACAGTCACCTCTTCCAAACAGCCTGACCAAATCTGGGTGAGTGATTATCACGAGGCCAAGGGAGCTGGGAACTCAACCCCAAAGCGAGGCCTCTGCCCTTCACCCCTCAATTCTGGGAGGCCACAGCCAGAGTGTTGACATAGCCATGGGGGCCCCCCTCGTTCTCTGAGATGCAGTGGCCCAGCTGCGAGCCTCCCTGAGGTGGGGGCGGCGGCGGGGGCGGTGGGGCGGAGGGAGCAGCACCGTAGCTGCCTCTGGCCCGACTAGGAGAGGCCCGGGTTCCCCGATCCCAGCAGCCCTCCAGGGCCTCCAGGCCACGGCAGCCTAGGAAGAAGAGGTTCTTGAGCATGAAGATGGACAGCGGCTGCTGGTAGCTCACCACCAGGAGGCAGCGCAGCGCCAGCAAGGGCACGTCCACCAGGCAGCCGCCCAGCAGGCGCAGGAGGCGGCTGCAGCTGCCAGGCCCGGAGGCCTGGCCCCAGGACGGAGCGGCCGCGGCCGCGTTCAGCTCGTACAGCCAGAGCACCGGCGAGGCGAGGGTGAGGAAGTACACGGCGATGAGCAGGTAGCGCAGGTGCGCGGGCAGCGGCACGCGGCCGTCCAGCATCAGCTCCACCAGCGTGAAGCTGTCGAGCAGGTCCAGGCACGTGCCCAGGAAGCAGCCGGCGGCGCGGTGCTGCTGCGGCTGCAGGAGCAGGGGACCCGCCGAGCCCGCGGGCGCGCCCGCCTCGCTGATGGCGCGCACCAGGCTGTAGAGCAGGGGCACCGATAGCGCCATGGTGAGGCGGAAGCCCGTGGTGCCGAAGGGCGCGCGCAGCTCGATGAGGTCCAGGATGGACGTGCCCAGGATCAGCACCACCTTGGGCGTGAAGGCGATGGAGTAGATGAGCCAGGCCAGGTAGGCGAAGGCGAACTCGCCCGCCGCCCCTGTGGTCCCCGCGCCGCCCCCCGGGCCACCGGCGCCCCCGCGCCCGCCGCGCGCCTTGGCCCCGGCCCCGGCGGAGGCGGCGGAGGCGGCCTGCAGGTGAAGAGGCGGCGCGGCGTGGTGGTGGAGCTGGTGATGGTTGTGCGCGCCGCTCGCCGCGCCGCCCCGACGGCCCCGGCTGTTCTTGGCGAAGAAGATGGCCCAGCCCACCACCACCACCAGGTCGGTGGCGATCCAAGAGCACCAGTACAGGTCAGTGACGGCGATGAGGTACAGGTCCAGTAGCCCTCCCTGCGCCAGCAGCAGCACCAAGACAGCGCCTGGTAGCCCCAGTGGCACCCGGGGCTGGGGGCGCAGCCGCGGCGCCGACCCCTGCGGCCCGACCGCGCAGGGCGGCCGCAGCAGCAGCAGCAGCAGCACGAGCAGCAGGAGGCACCGCTGCCGGTCCCGGGGCCGCCCGCGACCCCGCGTCCCCCAGGGCCCCCGACGGCCCCGGGCGCTGCGCCCCCGCCAAAATCCGCGGCTGTCATGCTGCAGGAGGAGGTGGGCGTGGAGGTGGAGGAGGAGGTGGCAGCGGAGGAGGAGGAGGAGAAGGCGGCGGGCGCGGGGTCAGCGGCCGGGGCGGCCCCCTGAGCGGGGGGACCCGGGAGCGTGGCGGCGGTGGCCGGCACCAGCGGCTTGCTGATGCTGATGCTCTCGTCGTCGTCCTCTCGCTCGGCGCCGGTGCTGCTGCTCGGGGAGCCGCCGCCACCCCCGCCGCGTCTGCCGCCGCCTCCCCCCCGGCTGGTGCTGGTGCTGGTGCTGCTGTCGCCCGAGCCTCTCCGGCCGCGGGAAGAGCCCCCCCGGAGGAAGAGGGGCTGCAGCCGGGCGGCAGCGGGGGGCGGCGGGAAGGAGCCGGACGCGGACGAGACCGAGCGAGGGCGGCCGAGCGCTGGGTGCATTGTCCTCCGAGGGGCTCCGTGGGCCGCCCGGCTGCTCCCTCCCCGCCAACCTCGAGCTGGCGAGGCGGCCGAGGGGAGCCGGGGCCAGCCGCCGCCGCCGCCCCCTCCCCGGCTGCTGGGACTCGTACCCGGGCCGGGCAGCAGCGAGATCCGGACTGGAGCCACTGGACTGGGCGAGCCGAGCCCCGGGTGGCTGGGCGCGGGGAAGGCGGGATGCCGAGGCGACCGCGGTGACGGGCGTGACGGGGGCGGAGGCGGGGAGCGAGCCCAGCAGGCGGGAGAGGCAGCTGACGGCGGGGAAACCAGGACTGGATTCAAGGGGGAGAGGAGGGGAGACCAGAGGAGGAGAAAAGCCTGGCTCGCTGGATCAGCGGGAAGGAGAGGCGGAGGGGAGAGCTGAGGCGCCAGGGTGGGAGTGCGGGGGCTGTGGGCTGGAGGGTGAACGCAGAGCAGGTGGCCGGAGGTTAGAGCGAGCACAAGGTTCCTAAAGAAGCCCCTCCGCAGTCCCGTGGGCTGGACGTTGGAGCATGAGTGGCTGGATGGCCTTGGTCTCAGGGTACGCCTTGCGTCCGCGCCTCCAAAAACCAGGCTCAGGTGACAGGTTCAGTTCCTACAGCAGGCAGCACCTGGGCAGCTTTCCCCTTTACATCACCCAGTGCCCTTGCCATTGAGCCATCCTGCCTCTCCCTAAGACACTGAAAACTCATGGGGCAGTCAGGCCATACTGATTAAAAAAAAAAAAATACCCAGGAATGCAGCCCCAAATAGTTCTACATATTCACACACCTCCATTGGGCTCAGAGCACTCCCAACTGCGGTCCCAATTTCCAGTAAATGGAGAAGTTCCCTGAATATAACTGTTTGGAAGAGACTAGGTAAAGAGACTGGTCAAGCGGCCCCTGCTGAATAGGGGTATGGGTATCTTCAAAGGCTTTTAAAGAGGAATTGAGGGGTTGAAGGTGTGATTCAAGAGTGTGCCTGCTTTGCAAGCGCAAAGCCCTGAGTTCAAACCCCAGTCCCACCAAAAAAAAAAAAAAAAAGGAATTGGAAATACTAGGAAGAAGTGTCTAGTAGAGTGGGGGAAAGGACCTTAAGAGGTATGGGTACTTGGATAAAAACAAAGGCTCAAATGGGGGCTGCCCAGCAGCGGACAGGACAAATGATGCTGGAAGGGATGGGGATGCAGCCCTGCACCAGCAAGCTGGGGAACTCGCTGACACCCCGTGACCGAGTCCAGGGCAAGGGCTGGCTATCCAGACAGCAGCTCTGGGAGGCCTTTATGGTGATAAGGGAGAAGGAAATGATTGGAACACTTGGAATTCAAGAAAGATTTCTTGGTCCCTATATAGTCCCTGAACCAAGCTTGCCTGTGTGCCTTTCTCTTCTTCCACATCCTGCAGGCAGCAAGTCCCCAGCCTGATTCCACTGCTTCAGAGCTGCTGCTGCCGCTGCTGGCCTGTGTGCCTGTCTGCCACAGGAAGATAATGCAGTGTTACTGACCCAGGCCCTGCCCAAAACCTGCCTCTTGAAGAATGACCAGTCCCAGCCAAACCTGCTTTCTCCAGGCTCTGGGAGGTCAGTGTGTAAAACTAATCCATGGCACAGATGGGATTTAGAACTCACAGCCTGCACTACTTTCTCTTGCCCTGACACAGAAAGCTGTGATCAATTCTATGTCCAGTTGTCACGCAAGGCAGAGCAGGTGTAAGAGTGAAAGCATGAGCTTTGGGGCTGGTGGCCCGAGCTCTGCCACTGAACAGCCTATGTGAGCTCAGCCTGGTTATTCCATCTCTCTGCACTCCTGCCTACGGGACTGCAAAAGGGACTGATGCCCACCTCAAGGGGTTGTTGTGCGTGATCACGTGTGTCAGGGGAGCAGCCCAGTGCTGGTGCACTCCGTTCAGTGTTAGCTGGCATTACTGTAACACCATGCTACTCACGCCTCTCAGGGAGCACTTACTCATAGGCAGGGCCATCAGCAGCTGTCTTCTAAGCTGGATTCCTTCCATGGCCACAGTCTGAGTTCTGCTCCCCCAGAGCTTTGCACTTTGGTCAGTGCCAGGGAGCAAAGCTGCTGTGATTAGGAGTCCTGGTCCTTGGAGCTGGGCTTCATAGGTCTCACCCGGTGAAAGGTTCAGCTGTATCAGCTAGTGCTGACACCTATGTGGCCGTAGGGGGAATGCCCCCACTCTACTCGTATACATCTCAGCAGGTCAGGTACATGTCAGGGCTAGGCCAGTCCAGGTAAAAAGGCTGATTGGGGAGCTGCCCTCTGCTAATGGGAGTGATTACAGCCAGTCTCCCAGTCTCCCCCCAGGGAAAACCAGCCAACAGCTAACGTGGGAACTGGTCCAAGACTCCTGCTCAGGTCAGTGAAGCAGCTGAAAAATTAAAAGCAAAGGTAAAGCACTGGGATCCCTGAGGGAACCTGCCACTGCGCCCGCCCTGGAAAGCCTGTCCTCAGGCCCACTCAGCAGCCTTTGTGAGGACAGGTTTCCTCCTTGGTTACTTGGATTTTCATAGTCCTCTGAAGGTATTCTTTGCATTTCTCAGGAAGTAATCAGATCAACTCTCTGTAAGAGATTTTGTGTGTGTGTGTGTGTGTGTAGGACTGGGGTTTGAACTCAGGGCTTCACACTTGCAAAGCAGGTGCTCTATCACTTGAACCATATCTCCAGTCCATTTTGCCCTGGTTATTTTGGAGACTGGGTCTCTGGAACTGTTTGTCCAGGCTGGCCTTGAGCCATGATCCTTCTGATCTCAGTTTCCCAACTAGGATTATAGGCGTGAGCCACCAGTGCCATCCTGTAAGAGATTCTTTAACATAATTTCCTTCATTCCTGAGCACTGAATAACTAAATCACCAATAGTCAGGATGAGAAGTCAGGGTACACTAGGAGTCAGGGTAGCCAGAGTGCTGGTAGGATCTCTTTACACTTGGTTGTTTCCAGTGTCCTGTACACACACACACACACACACACACAACACACACACAGCCTTTTCTTCAGCCTTGAAAGGACGTCACAAAGGTGTAACAAGGATGCGATAAAGGGTGACATCAAGGGAGACAAACATTCTCTTATGTAGAGTAAGTACAGACATCTCACAAGGGTTTGCAAAAGGAAAGAAATGGTCCCCGAGGATCTCTTAAGCACTGAGGGTCTATGCTAATACCTAGAAACCCAGACACAGAGAGGTAAAGCAACTTACTGCAAGTCACACAGCTAGCTGAGGGAAGAGTTCCAATCAGATCTAGACTTTGACTCATCCCAGCACTTGTGCCAGCTGCCAGCTCTCCTCATGCAACAAAATGGCAGTGGCTCAAGGGCACCTAGGACGGGGACAAGCTACTTCCCGAAGGACCGTGTATGCTGGGTATTGAACAAGGCTCCTGTGGGACCAACATTTTTGGCCTCCTGAACTGTAAGGCCAATGGCTCCTCATCTTCCTGCGGCAACAGGGAATGGCCAGGAGGAAGAAGGGGCCCTGACCCATGCAGCAGTGAAGGAAGGTTGTGTGGCAGGGCCAGCCTCTCATAGGACTGACTGTGACCCCGTTCCTGACTGAGCCACTCTCTGCTCAGGATCACTGCCTCTCACCTTCAGAGCAAGAATAAAGGCCAGGTCCACAGGGACCTGTGAAAGAGTGTGTGGAGCCCCATGGTGCTCCCCGTGTGAATACAAGAAAAGCCAAAGCAGTCGGCCGGTTCCCAGTGACAAAGTCACCATACACTGGCTCTCTGAAGAGGGAAGCTGGTGGGGGACCGTGACTGAAGCTGGAGTCTGCAAAGTTTAGCTTATTAGGAAGGTGAAGCTTTAAAACTACTCTGAGAGCTCTGTGAGTACAGACACTGCCTCTCTCCAAGTTCAGAGCTCCTCTGCAGCCGTGCTGGGCCTGGAGCTGCCCCATGGATGTCTTATGGTGATGCCACCACCCACAGGGGCAAAGGAGGAAGTCCCTGCATTGGGGTCTCCAGGGGTCAATCCCAGAGCTATGTGCTAGGGCTCCAGAGATTTAAAAAAAGGAAAGAGAAAGCAAATTCTTGGAGGGAAGTAGATAAGCAGCAAAGCATGACAAAGTGATGTGTAACATATGTCAAGTTCTGTACACAGTCTAGACAGTACCAAAGGGGCAGGTCAGGAAAGCCTTGGTAGATGAGAGCTGTCCTGAAGGATGAGCCGAAGAGCAGGGAGTGGGTGGAGCAGCCAGAACATCCCAGGAGGAGACAAGCATGGGAGCAGTTGGCCTCTATGGAATTGCTAAGAGATGGCCCTGCTTGAATATGAAGGACAAGGAGAAAACACAAAGATGAGGCGGAGGAAATGAGCCCATCTCAGTGTCAGTCATAGGCTGAGCTTGGACTGCATTGGGAGGGTATAAGAAACCTCTGAAGTCAAGCACTGCGAGCTCACACCTGTAATCCTAGCTACTTGGGAGGCTGAGAGTGGGAGGATCAAGGTTTGAGGCCAGCCCGGGCAAATACTTTTTGAGATCAATCTCCAAAATAACTAGAACAAAATGGACTGAAAGTGACTCGAGCAGCAGAGCACCTGCTTTGCAAGCTCGAAGCCTTGAGTTCAAACGAGGGAAGAAGGGAGGGAGGGAGGAAGGAAGGAAAGAAGAAATATAACATGAATAGATGGGCATTTGAAAAATTGCTTTCTGGGCCTTGAGTTCAAACAAGGGAGGGAGGGAGGGAGGGAGGAAAGAAGAAAGGAAGGAAGGAAGGAAGATAACATGAATAGACAGGCATTTGAAAAACTGCTTTCTGGGCTGGGGTGTGGTTCAAGTGATAGAGTACCTGCCTAGTTCCTGAGTTCCAACCCCAGTACTGCCAGAAAGAGAGAGAGAGAGAGAGAGAGAGAGAGAAAGCCCATGAACCTCAGTGATGGGGGATGGGTAGAAAAACAAGCCTGTTGAAACAAGGAGACTCTGGGGAAGTAAGTGACCCTAGCTTAGGCTTAAAGTAAAATAAAACTCTCTCCTGGAAATTTCATAAC